TCTCTAGACCTCTCCTGGACCTCTCCTAGACCCTCTCCTAGACCTCTCCTAGACCCTCTCCTAGACCCTCTCCTAGACCTCTCCTAGACCTCTCCTAGACCCTCTCCTGGACCTCTCCTAGACCTCTCCTGGACCTTTGCTGGACCCTCTCCTAGCCCTCTCCTGGACCTCTCCTAGACCTCTCCTAGACCCTCTCCCAGACCCTCTCCCAGCCCTCTCCTGGACCCTCTCCTAGCCCTCTCCTAGCCCTCTCCTAGACCCTCTCCTAGACCTTTCCTAGACCTCTCCTAGCCCTCTCCTGGACCCTCTCCTAGCCCTCTCCCAGCCCTCTCCTGGACCCTCTCCTAGCCCTCTCCTAGCCCTCTCCTAGACCCTCTCCTGGACCCTCTCCTAGACCCTCTCCTAGCCCTCTCCCAGCCCTCTCCTGGACCCTCTCCTGGACCTCTCCTGGACCCTCTCCTAGCCCTCTCCTAGCCCTCTCCTAGACCCTCTCCTGGACCTCTCCTAGACCCTCTCCTAGCCCTCTCCCAGCCCTCTCCTGGACCCTCTCCTGGACCTCTCCTGGACCCTCTCCTAGCCCTCTCCTAGCCCTCTCCTAGACCCTCTCCTGGACCCTCTCCTAGACCCTCTCCTAGCCCTCTCCCAGCCCTCTCCTGGACCCTCTCCTGGACCTCTCCTAGCCCTCTCCCAGCCCTCTCCTGGACCCTCTCCTGGACCTCTCCTGGACCCTCTCCTAGCCCTCTCCTAGCCCTCTCCTGGACCCTCTCCTGGACCCTCTCCTGGACCTCTCCTAGCCCTCTCCCAGCCCTCTCCTGGACCCTCTCCTGGACCTCTCCTGGACCCTCTCCTAGCCCTCTCCTAGCCCTCTCCTAGACCCTCTCCTGGACCCTCTCCTAGACCCTCTCCTAGCCCTCTCCCAGCCCTCTCCTGGACCCTCTCCTAGCCCTCTCCTAGACCCTCTCCTGGACCTCTCCTAGCCCTCTCCCAGCCCTCTCCTGGACCCTCTCCTGGACCTCTCCTGGACCCTCTCCTAGCCCTCTCCCAGCCCTCTCCTGGACCTCTCCTAGACCTCTCCTGGACCTCTCCTAGACCTCTCCTAGCCCTCCCCTAGCCCTCTCCTAGACCTCTCCTAGACCTCTCCTAGACCCTCTCCTAGCCCTCTCCTAGACCTCTCCTAGACCTCTCCTAGACCTCTCCTAGACCTCTCCTGGACCCTCTCCTAGACCTCTCCTAGACCTCTCCCAGCCCTCTCCTCTCCCAGCCCTCTCGTTCGACCAGGCCAAGCCCAAGCTGGCCGAGCTCGCGAGGCTGGAGGACTTCTTCGAGGCGAGCCGACCCCGGGGCGGTCGTTCACAGCCGTGAAGACAGCCTGTTCACACCTGCGGCTGTGAACAGGCGACGCGCGTCGAGGCGGTCGTGCTCTCAGCGACCGACTTCAAGTGCAAGCGCGTGCCCGACGAGCCGCTCCCCCCGAGCCCGTTGGCAGCGAGTGCGGCGCGACTCATCACTGCGGCGCACTCGCCCCACTCCTAGGCGCGTGCTCGACGAGCTCTCCCTCGTGTCCGAGGCGATGGCGCTGCGGCGCAAGTTCACCGCGCCGCGCGAGCGCAAGCCGCAGCCGCCGCTACCGAGCCACCCAAGCCGGGAGGAGGTGGTTAAGCATGGGTGGGAGGCGCTCTGGCACCACCGCGCCGGCGACTCCCTCTCCGAGGGCACGGACGGCGAGGCGTTTGCGCACGAGCTGTACCGGCACGGCTGGGACAGGCAGACGGAGCTGGAGGGCTGCACCGGCCCGTCCTCGACCTGTCCTAGACCTTTCCTGGACCGCTCCTGGACAGGCAAAAGGAGCTGGACGGCTGCAACGACCCGTCGGGCCACGGCACCGTGCGGCAGGTGGGCCTCGCCGCCTCGGTTCACAGCTGCAGGTGTGAACAGCGCCTCTTCACAGCTGCACGGCTGCGTGCGCGGCAGGCGGACCTCGCCGCCTCCGACGAGCGGCCTGCGGGCTGGAAGCCCTTCTCGGCGCCCCACCGAGCCGCGCAGCACGCTGCCCTCGCGCGTGGACGGCGTCTGTTCACACCTCCCGCCGTGACCGCAGGTTCATTTTGCCGATGAGACGCTGTTCACACCTCTGTTCACACCTCCTCTGTTCACACCTCCCGCCGTGACCGCAGGTTCACTTTGCCGATGAGACGCTGCCGCGCATGTGGGCGGTGAGGCCGGCGGCGCGCGCGGAGCTGCCGGACCTCACGCCGACGCAGTGCATCGCGCTGGCGCTCGCGCGGCACGTGCAGGTCGAGATCTGGGGAGATGGTGGGGAGATGTGGGGAGGTCTAGCGGCACGTGCAGGCGCTGAGTCGTCGAGAGGTTCGCCGAGGTTCGCCGAGATGCTCCGAGGTTCCCCAGGGCTCCCCGAGATGCCCCGACGTTCCCCGAGAAGCCCCGACGTTCCCCGAGATGTCCCGAGGTTCGCCGAGGTTCCCCGAGGTTCGCCGAGGGTCCCCAGGGCTCCCCGAGAAGCCCCGAGGTTCGCCGAGATGTCCCGAGGTTCGCCGAGAAGCCCCGAGGTTCGCCGAGATGCCCCGAGGTTCGCCGAGGTTCCCCAGGGTTCCCCGAGATGCCCCGAGATGCCCCGAGGTTCGCCGAGATGCCCCGAGGTTCGCCGAGATGCCCCGAGGTTCGCCGAGATGCCCCGAGGTTCGCCGAGGTTCGCCGAGAGTCCTCGAGAGTCGCCGAGCTTCCCCGCGGCCGGGATTCACATGAGATGCCGCGAGAGGGCGAGATCGCGGCGAGATCTGCGGTCGCCGCTCTCCCTCGCAGGACCCGTTCGAGTCCGTCTGCCACATGCTCTCCCCCTCCGGGCTCGAGCTGACGCAGCTGCCTCTCTCGCCGCTGGTCGGCGAGCTGCCCGAGCCGCTGCTGCGCGCCGCTCTCTCGGCGATGACGACCGGACGCGACCCGCGAGCGAGGGGGGGGGAGGGGGGCGAGGTCACGCGAGATGTGCGCGAGAGTAGGCGGAGCTGGTGGACGCGACTTGCCAGCGGGGCGTCTCCGTCCTCGAGGCGCTCACACACCCGCACCGCGGGGCAGGAACCTTCTAGGAACTTTCTAGGAGCCTTCTAGGAGCCTTCTAGGCGCTCACGCACCCGCACCGCGGCGCAGCCCTCCAGTTCGTCCCAGGGCTCGGACCTCGCAAGGCGATGCCGCACCGCCCACGGGACCGAACCCACACCGGGGTCGACCGCTCTGAGGGGGGGTGGTGCGGTACTAGGCCGCCGCGTTGCGCCGCGAGCTGCTGGCACGGCGCGCGCAGGGCGGGAAGCACGAGATCACGAGCCGGGACGGGCTGCACGAGCTGCTCGGGCCTTGTGTGTGGGCAAACGCGGTGGGCTTCCTCGAGCCTGCGCCTCAAGGACGGCCCTGCTGTGAATGGCGTCTCTTCACACCTGCAGCTGTGAACAGGTGGGCTTCCTCAAGTTTGAGCCGCCTCGCGAGCCCGGCGAGCCGCGGCCGCCCCGCCCCCCCCCGGCCTCGGCTGCAAGGACGTCGTTCCTAGACGGCGGCCTGTGTTTCTTTTGTCTAGGCGAGCCGCGGCAGCCCCCCCCAGCCTCGGCTGCAAGGACGTCGTTCCTAGACGGCGGCCTGTGTTTCTTTTGTCTAGGCGAGCCGCGGCAGCCCCCCCCAGCCTCGGCTGCAAGGACGTCGTTCCTAGACGGCGGCCTGTGTTTCTTTTGTCTAGGCGAGCCGCGGCAGCCCCCCGGGCTCGACGGGATGCGAATCCACCCGGACGACTACCGTTTCGCGCGCAAGATGTGAGCACCGCACCGCCCACGCGGGACCGACCTCCCCCGCACCGGGATCGGTACCACGGGAGGCGCGGTACCAGGTGCCTCGACGCGATGACCGACGTGGATGCCGAGGAGGAGGCGGAGACGCCCGAGCGGCTCGCCGCCGCCGTCGACGTGGCCATGCGCGCGCCAAACCTGGCGCAGATCATGGACGAGCTAGAGCTGCTTCTCGGACCGTTCCTAGACCTTTCCTGGAACCTTCCTGCAGGCGCAGATCATGGACGAGCTCGAGCTGCTTCTCGGACCGTTCCTAGACCTTTCCTGGAACCTTCCTGCAGGCGCAGATCATGGACGAGCTCGAGCTACTTCTCGGACCGTTCCTAGACCTTTCCTGGAGCCTTCCTGCAGGCGCAGATCATGGACGAGCTCGAGCTACTTCTCGGACCGTTCCTAGACCTTTCCTGGAACCTTCCTGCAGGCGCAGATCATGGACGAGCTGGAGCTGACGGACTACAACGACTACCTGCACAACCAGGCGGGGGGGGGAGGACTCCATGAGTGAGTGAATCAGTTCATGAGAGACTGACAGCGGCTGGGCTGCGCAAGCAGGAGGGGGAGAAGTACATGCTGTCCACGCTCACCGACCTGCGGGTGGAGCTGCTGCACCCGTTCCAGGACAAGCGCGGCGACTGGTCCTCCCTCTGGGAGCACGGCCCGCTCGACAAGGAGCGGCTCCTCGAGCTCCTCTCCGCGTGAGGAATGGAGGCGTGGACTCACCCCCTCTTCCTTGACGACTAGGAGCGGCTCTTCGAGCTCCTCACCGCCGAGACGCTCAGCACGCTGCACGGGGACGACTACGACGTGCACGAGATCTACCCGCCCGGCCACCCGCACGCGGGCGAGCCGTCGCTGCTGCGCGAGGGGAGGGGCCGTCTACGAACCTTCTACGAACCTTCTACGAACCTTCTAGGCGAGCCGCTGCTGCTGCGCGGCGGCACGCTCGCGCAGGCGGCCACCGTGCGGCCGGACAACCTAGAGGGCTCCTAGAGGGTGCGTAGAAGGTGTGTAGAAGGTTCCGAGAAGGTTCCTCATCGCGCAGGCGGCGATCGTGCGGCCGGACAACCGCGGCCTCAAGGACGGGCAGATGCAGTTCCACATCCGGCTGCAGTGCGGCGTCACGGGCACCAGCCAGGAGGAGGAGGGGCGTGTCGCCGTGAGGCCGCGTCTCTTCACACCTCCGGCTGTGAACAGGCACCATCCAGGAGGAGGACTTCTCCGACCAGAGGCGGCTGCCCCGCCGCGACGGCGCGGGCGGGCCAGAGGTCGTGATGCCGGTGCACGAGGGGCAGCTGTGAACAGCGTCTCTTCACACGTGTTGCTGTGAACAGGTCGTGATGCCGGTGCACGAGGGCAGCTGTGAACAGCGTCTCTTCACACCCGTTGCTGTGAACAGGTCGTGATGCCGGTGCGCGAGGGGCAGCTGTGAACAGCGTCTCTTCACACCTGCAGCTGTGAACAGGTCGTGATGCCGGTGCGCGAGGGGCAGCTGTGAACAGCGTCTCTTCACACCCGTTGCTGTGAACAGGTCGTGATGCCGGTGCACGAGGGCAGCTGTGAACAGCGTCTCTTCACACCCGTTGCTGTGAACAGGTCGTGATGCCGGTGCGCGAGGGGCAGCTGTGAACAGCGTCTCTTCACACCTGCAGCTGTGAACAGGTCGTGATGCCGGTGCGCGAGGGGCAGCTGTGAACAGCGTCTCTTCACACCCGTTGCTGTGAACAGGTCGTGATGCCGGTGCGCGAGGGGCAGCTCATCTCGGCGCGCGGCACGCCGCCCAGCCGATGGCTGTGAACGGCGTCTCTTCACACCTGCCGCTGCGAGCAGGTGCGCGTCAAGACGCTCAACTTGGTCGACCACACCTGCACCGCCACGTGCGCCGGCAAGGAGCTGCAGCGCGCCGAGTACATGACCCTAGCGCAGGAGCGCGCAAAGGCGGCGGCCGAGGAGGCGGCCAAGCGGAGCGGGGGGCGCGTGCTCTCGCGCGGCGACAGCCAGCCCCGCTGTGAACGGCGTCTCTTCACACCTCTTGCTGTGAAGTAGGCCCGTGCTCTCGCGCGGCGAGTTTGTCAAGCGGCGGGTCGGGCACCCTCAGTTCAAGAACGGGACGCGCGAGCAGGAGAGCGCGCCCTCTCCTAGACCTCTCCTAGACCTCTCCTAGACCTCTCCTAGACCTCTCCTAGACCTCTCCCAGACCTTTCCTAGATCGGGACGCGCGAGCTGGAGCGCGGTGCCCTGGCTTCCTTGCCTGGCGGCGACGCCCCCTCTTACGCGTCGGCCGTGGGGCCCTCCCCCCACCTTGCGTCGGCTCCCCTTCCCTAGGTGCGCGCCTTCTTGGCGGCGATGCCGGTCGGTGAGACCGTGTTTCGCCCCTCGTCGCGCGCGGACCACCTCACCGCCACCGTCAAGCTGACGGCGCACGGGCCGCTGCTGCACGTCGACATCCTCGAGAAGGACAAGCCGTCGCCCGCGGAGCTCGGCGCGTACCTGTGGATCGGCCGCGTCGAGATTGCCCGAGATTGCGCGCGAGGTGCGAGCCGAGGTTGGCCGAGAGTAGGCGCGTCGCTGTGGATCGGCCGCGTCGAGAGCGACGCGAGCAAGCAGGGCGACCGCTTCGACGACCTCGACGAGATTCTGTACCGCTACGTCGAGCCGCTCGTGGAGAACATGCGCGAGGTGACGCACGCGCGCGCACACACGCGCACACGCGTGCACACGCGTGCACACACGCACACGCACACGCACACACGCACGCACGCACGCACGCACGCGCACACACGCACACACGCACGCACGCACGCGCACACACACACCCACGCACACACCTCACCCACTTTGAGTGCGGTACCAGCGCCTGTCTGTTGGACGAGGAGCCGCGAGGGACTTGCCCGGCCCTTGCCCCCGCCACCCTCGTGTGCGTGGAGAAGTGTCCCGGACCTGTCCTCGAAGTGTCCCGGACTTGTCCTCAGGTGACGGGGCACCGCAAGTTCGCGCCGGAGCTCTCCGCCGAGGCGGTGGTCGAGCGGCTGAACCGCGAGAAGGCAAACTCGGACATGATCGCGTACGCGCTCGCGCTGTACGAGAAGGACGCGACGACGGTGGTGATCTACGTGGTGCGGGCCGAGGGGCGGAAGCACCGCGAGGCGATCAAGGTGTCGCCGGCGGGGTTCGTGTACCGCGACGTCGCCTTCAACACGCTCGAGGAGGCGATCAAGCACTTCAAGGTGGAGGCCTCCAAGCTCGAATCATATCTTTTGACACCACATTCAGTAACAGTGATGATTGGCACTTTCCAGGTGGAGGCCTTCAAGCCGCGGCAGAGGCCCGCAGCGACTCACACCTCTGGCGGTGCCGGCTGGGGCGGGACTGGCGGAGTGGTCGGGGGCGGCTGGGGAGGGCAGGGCGGAGGCGGCGCCGCCGGCGGCGGCGGGGGCGGCGGAGGAGGAAGAGGCTGGGGCGGCGGGCGCGGATGGGGTCCGCGCGGAGGGGCCCGCCGCCGCCACCTCGGGGGCGCGGTAGCGCCTGCGGGCGCGCTATGCCAGGAGCGCATGTGTCCGCGCGGGGTTTTTAGGGGAAGTCGAAGTGCGAGAGACAGAGGGACGGTTCGTGCCGATGCCACGATAAGCGCTTGTGACGGTTAGCCCACACCTATCGAACCGCGGTGGGGGCCGCCCGGAATCCGCGGGATGCGGCGCATTGCGCCCCCACGGCCTGCGCTGGCTCTCGGCCTCTAATGCGCTCGCGAGCTCACCTTCCGAGTGTGTCGCCGGACTAGAGTTTGCCGTAGTTTTCTGAGTCTCTCTCGTATCGTCTTCGGCCGCGGCCGCTCCCGTGACCCCTCGCCCTCGACCGGCACCCCGGCTCCGAGTCGCCGTCTGAGGATGCCGACGGCTGCCTCATGAATGGGAGGACGGGGGACGGCGCGCCGCCACCACTGACACAGGGATTTGAAGGAGAGGAGTATCCACGAAGATCGACACGGTGGCGGGTCCCTGCGACTTGATGAGGCGGAGAAGAGGCCCAGCATTTTGATGGAGAGGCTGAGGAAGGTTAACCTGGTTTGTGGAGCTCCCGCACCTTTCCTCGACGCTCGAGAGCACGGCATTCGGGGCCAGGATGTCGGTTCCCCACCGGACTTTTTTTGTAGTGGAGAGAATTAAGGAATCTTTCTGCTGTAACCGACACTGATATCGCTCTCCTCTATTCAGACCAGATGGTGAGTCTTAACTGTAAATTACCGTCAAAAAGCTGTCAGAACGGCTGTCAGAACGCTGTCAGAACGCTGTCAGAACGCTGTCAGAACGCTGTCAGAACACTTTTGTGGGTAGGGTACTGTCAGAACGTTGCCAGCACGCGAGAGCGGGCCAAGTGTGAACATCTGCAAGACGCGAGCGCCGCCGCCTCGCCGATCGCCGCCGCCTTTGCAGGCTCCTTTGCGGGCGCGGCGCCAGGGGGCGGCGGCGCCCGCTCGAGCCCATCCCGCTGATCTGCCTCGGCTGCGGGCACCGCCTGCTCGGCCGCCTGGCCAGGGCAAGGCAAGCGCCGGCTGAGCTGCGGCGAGGCCGCACTGCCGACGTTAAGTCTCGCTGCCACTGCTGCTGCTGTTGCTTTGGCGGCGACAAGCGCGTCTCTGCGGCGCGTGTCGCGGAGGAGCAAGGGCCGTTTGGCGGTGGTGCCAAAGGACGGCGCGGCGGCGTCGCAAGCGGCACGTTCGGTCCCTCGTGACCCGAGGCTGCCGTCTTGGAAGCAGCCTTCGCGTCTAACTGGACCGCCGGGCCCGCACATCGCACACTGTGCTGCGGCGCTTCGGCGTGGCTGCTGCCGGGCCGCAGCTTCTTCGGCGCTGTCGCGGGGCTCCAGCCTGCGCCGCAGACCATCGCAAGAGCGCGTTTGCTGCCTCGAGGCCCCGGCATGATGGCGGCCTTGGCGTGCTCCTGCTCGACGGTTACAGCTGTTCGCGCTCCCGCTTGATGTCAGTGCACGCATTTCTTTTTAAATTGTCAGAACAGATACTACCTACCTACCTACAGATTGTCAGAACAGGCGAACTTGGACTCGAAGTGAAAGTTGAAGTTTGTGTCAGAACGGGGACCAAGTTTGTGTCAGAACAGGGCCTAGGTACGCCTCAACGTGAGAGTGTCGCCTTGGGCTTGGCGCTTGGGAGGACGTGCTGTGTGTTGAGTCCGTCCGTGGCTCGGAGGGAGACTTCAAGATAGGAAGAGGGAAGGAGCGGGGCAACTGGGAACGTCAGAGCCCCTGAGCTGTGAAGAGAGGGGAGGATTTTGCGCTGTCAGAACGCTGTCAGAACGCTGTCAGAACACTGTCAGAACGCTGTCAGAACGCTGTCAGAACGGCCAGGTCTCTGTCAGAACAGGTGCGGGAGCTCCACAAACCAGGTTGGTTGTGAAGCAATTCTTTTTCGAGATCTGGAGCAAGACGAAATGAGATCTCGATGAGGCCACGTACAAACAGGTCCTGTCATCTGGGAGGTTTCAATAGCAGCAGAGGCACCTGCCACCCATTGGGCGGGCAGACAGAAGGCCAGGGCAGCACTGGCAAGTGCAACGCGCCTCATGTCGGAGAGCGACCGTGCCTCGTTCGCCGCTTATGATGTAGAGTTTGTTGTAGAGATTTCACGTTGTAGAGCGCCTCTACATCGCTCTACAACGGAGGCGCGTCGTCCCGCGGCGGATGTAGAGCTCTACAGCTCTACAGGACAGCGCTCTACAGCGCTCTCCAGCCAGCGCTCTACATCTCTACAGCTCTACAGCGCTCTACACTCTACATCCTCTACACCCTCCCTCAGAGTGCACCTCCTTGGCGGGGACGTCAGGTGTTCTCGAGGTTCTCGAGGGGGTATCCTTTGGCCGCGTTGGGTAGCGAGGATTGGTGTGACGCGATCCACGCAGGCGTGTTTTCTGACGGCCGACCGTCAGTGCACGGAGTTGCCCCTTCTCCGACTGCCCCGGCTAGTTCACGGGTTTCGCGGGAGTGACCCCATGCGTCAAACCCGCCATTTAGCGGGGTGGGTTGGAGGGGGCTCGCTGCAGGGAAGGGCGGTGTAAGAGGCCGATCCCCGTAGTGGTCCGCCCGACCGCCCCACTCCTCCCCATCGGGGCGCATAAGCGGCCGCGCCTCGCAGATTCGTTTCTCGCGCCTGGGTCAGGCGCACGGGGCATCCCCCGGTCGATCGACCAGGTGTCGAAAAAAGAGTTTTCGCAACCGATGGATCTCGATCAGCGAGATTCTGAGCGATTCCACAGGGGGATGTCAATAGAGAGCCAGGCTGCAAGCCGTGAGGTGAAGGGGGGAGCTTGCAGGCAGATCGCCCCGTCCGTCTGGAGCAAAGACGGAGGTTTCGGAGAGTTTTCTTTTTTCACAACGTGCAAGTAGTACCGGAACTCCGCGCCCTGGTCCCGCGCATCGGCTCTAGCGATGATAGACTCGGACATCGAGGACGACGAGGACTTCGCGCGCGCGCGGGTTCTAGCCCCCGCCGTGCACGCGCCCACTGCTCCCGCAGACGCAGCGCAGCTGTCCTCCCCGCCCGCCGCACCGCCGGGCGCCGCCGACCGGAATGCGGGCCCGCGCAGCTCCGTGGTCGCAGCTCCGGTCCGGTCCGCCGCGCCCATCTCGGGTGAGAGCGAGCGAGCGAGTACGTCTTCGGTCCTCCCCCCCGTGCCTACGCCGGATGATATCGGGGAGATCGTGGGGCGAGGTGACGACGTCACGGTTCGGGAATGGCTTAGGAGCGGCGGCCAGGTCAACGCAAAGCTCGAGTTTCAAATGACGTTGCTCATGCACGCCGCCTTCGCGGGATCGGAGCGGTTGGTCGAAGTGCTGCTTCAGCACGGCGCAGACGTCAACATGCAAAACAGCGACGGCCTCACCGCGCTGATGATAGCCACCGGCATGGGCCACGAGCAGGTGGTTGATTTGCTGCTTCGGCACAGCGCACAGATAAACATGCAAAACAGCAAGGGCGCCTCCGCACTGATGCTCGCCGCCAACACCAACCGCGCAGCCACCGTTCTCCGCCTGCTGCGGGAAGGTGCAATCGCGACCGCCCGCGATGTGGACGGCAAGACCGCGCTGCAGATCGCTAAAGATGAGGGCCACGCCGAGTGCATCGCGGCCTTCAGGCAGCACGTCGCGGCGACTGCGGGTCTCTGCGAGACGGAGGCGGGAGGTGCGGGCGAAGCGGCGGCCGGGGCGAGTATTGCGGCCTCTTCCAGCTCGTTGGGCGTCCTTGGCGACACGGAAGCGCTCGCGGCTGGGCGAGGCGACGAGGCGGCGCTGAAGCGTTGGCTCGACAGCGGCGGGCAGGTCAACGCGTCTTGCGGGGATGGCGTTGTGAGCGGCCTCACTGCGCTGATGGTCGCCGCCGGCCAAGGCCACGAGGGGGCGGTCGAGCTGCTGTTGCGGCGCGGCGCGAAGGTGGACCAGCGAGAAAACGACGGCCACACTGCGCTGATGGGCGCCGCCCTTGGAGGCCACGCGCGGGTGGCCGACATGCTGATTCGGCACGGCGCGGCGTTAGACTTGCAGGACAGCACCGGTAGCACCGCGCTGCTTACCGCTGCGTACCCGGGTCACGAGCGCGTGGTCGAAGTGTTGCTCGGGCAGGGCGCGCAATCAAGTGTACAGGACTGCAACGGCACCACAGCACTGATCAGCGCCGCACATAAGGGCCACGAGCGCGTGATCGACATGCTGCTGCAGCACGGCGCGGTGCACGGCGCGGATTACGACATGCAAGACAGCGATGGCTTCACCGCGCTGATGTTTGCCGCTGCCTTTAACTTCCCCGCTATCGTGCGCCGTTTGCTGCGGGCGGGCGCGAGCTCGGCGCTACGCTCTGCGGAAGGCATGTCCGCGCTGGAGTATGCTAAGAGGAACGGCCACAGCGTTTGCGTCGACGCAATCAGGCAGCACATCGAGGAGGCGACCAAGGCGGGGCGGCTCAGGGCCGGCGGCACTTCCGCTGACGGGGGCAACGCAGTGGACGCAGACACCGCGCTGCGCTCGTTCGAAGAACTAGCCGCTACAGAGGAGGAGGTGGAGGAGGTGGAGGAAGGCTCACAGCGGCCGGACGGGCGCATCGTCCTGCAGCTGGCCAAGGAGCAGGCGGCGGCGGCGGAGATGACCCTCGCGGTCACCTACCGCGGCGGAGTGCGGAGGCCCCGCCCCGTCCCGACGCCCTGCCCTCCC